GGACAGACGTCCTCTGAGGTGCAAAGGCAGGAGGTCAAAATTCACCCGGCAACACAGTCACATCACTCGCTCAAGTCTTTGCTGCTACATGGTTTCGGACGGGCAGTATTCTTGGTGTAAGTGTGTGTGTGTGTGTGTGTGTGTGTGGGTGGGTGCGTGGGTGGTTCCGTGTGTGTGTGTGTGTGTGTGTGTGTGTGTGCGTGTGTATGCACATCTATCTATCTATCTATATATATATGTATATATAGTATATATGTATGTATGTATGTATATACATATCTCTATATATAATATATGTATATATATATATACATATATGTAGATGTGTATGATCCACATGTATCGCACATGTGTATATACATATATAAAGATGTAATTTTTTCTGTACATATAGCTATACATATATTTATACATATATTGATACATATACGTATACATATAACTATAGATGTGTTTACAGAACTTTTTCTCCAATGTATGTGTGTATATATATATATATTCATTTATTTATTTATTTATTTATTTATTTTTTTGTACATATGTATATATATATACATACATATCTGCAACCTAAGTTTTTACGCTGCCATAGGCGACGCTTGTCCACTATGCAGCGCGTGCCTATGGTCTCACTTAGGCACCTGTAATTACCTTGCACTGACGCAAGCTTATGTTGCATCTGTGAACTGACAACACCTCGCACTTAGAACTGCCCACCCATAATCAACATGCGCGCACATGCCTCCTTTCTGCTCCCTACTCAGAGCTAACCTCCCCTTCTCGTTCCACTTTCTCGACTCCTGGGTGAAAACGCCCGTACACTTTTCAAAACCTCAGACTTGCCCATGTGTTTTCTCTTCTTCTTCTTAAATTACACACTTCTCGCGCGAGTGAACCACTTTATCCTGTTTACCTGCTACTGTAACCGTCCTGGTACTGGTGGCAGTCTGTCAATGTTCAAACTCTGACAAAGCCTAGCTGCCAGGATCTAACCAATACTAATAAGCTGGCTCCAAAATGCCGATCTTACCATATTATTAAAACGTCTGCTGCGAATCTGAGCTGTTGAGTTCACAGTCCGCTGACCAAACAGATCTCAAAACGCTGTAGCTCTTGTACTCCTGCTATCCCTATAAACCGTATCACATCTTCATAAGCAAACGGATAGCTTGTTTCCTATACGATGCCTGCAAAGCCCAAATCGTTTACTTCTCAGTTGCCTTACGTAGCCAACTTTGGAAGGCATTACATGTTGCGCTAGCAGGCCACCAGTAAACCGAATACCCCGAACTCCTCAAAAACTCACACTACACTTTCTACAGTTATAGGCACATCTTTCGTGAAAGAGGCTTTGACAGAATGGTTGTGACATTGGTCGAACGTGATGAGCCGAACATTGAGGATCAGATGGTATGTCAAGCTTTATGTCACAACGAAAAATTTTGACTCGGACTCGGAAACAGAATCCAACAGTCAAACCTTTACATCTGCATGTATGTATGTATGTATACGTATATTTCTATATATGTATGTGTGTGTGTGTGTGCACGAACACATATATATATATATATATATATATATATATATATATATATATATATATATATATATATATATTGTATTATATTCCTTTCACTCAACAAACACCAAAGCCACATACATACAGACAAACGGACAGAAGACACCTACACACCTACCTATCTACCCACCTTCCTGCCTGCCCGCCGGCTTACTGCCTACCTGCCTAGCAACAGACAGACAGATTTGTAGAAACACATGCATGGACCTCAATACGCTGGGGGCGCTTGCGCCGTTTTGACCTGCACCTTCGGAGCTCCACACTCTTCATTCTCTGGCATGCGAACTTACGCCAGAAAGCACAGCCTACCGGACCCGAAATTCTCCTCGACCCCTCAAAGTTGAAAGTCTAGACACCTGCGAGTCTGCAAGCATGAGCCTTACATAGCCCGACCTAACCCTAGCAGAACATTCGCGTTTCGCTGACTCACGGCCAAGCTCAGCTCTTCAGGGGCGGCGACCTTTGGGCATCAAAGTCCCATGCACATATTCCAGGATTCGGGGAGGGGGGGTCAAACTCCTCGCCGGGCTGAGGGCTTCGGGGGTTGAAGCATTCTGGCTGCTTCGGTGAGTCTAGCCGCTACGAGTGCTCTGGGCTCACGGGGATCGCAGGCCCAAAGCACCCTCCCAAGACTGGTTTCGTATGCTGCCGCAGGTCAAATATTCAGCCCAAGACGGGACAAACGCGTGCAGGCGCTGCAGGAGCATCCAAGCCACACAGGACAAACCCTCACTGGAATCTCAGGGAGGACGGTCTCGAACACTGAGATCGGCACACCAAAATCACGGAGTCGCCACGCACCTGAGCGGTCCGGCGGTCCGGCGGTTGCCCTGAGTTTAAGAAGCTTGGGCGACCTCGACCTCGAAGTCCCAACCGACTACAGGGCTGCTGTGGGTCCCGCAACAGCAGCCTCGATTCAGGAGTTGCTCTAGACAGCCAACAGGCGTCCCCGTGCTCTTTCTGTCCTACAGTGCCTGACTCCGTGGCTGGTGGAAATTTTTGTCGATCATCGACAAAACCCGTGCGCTTGTATAGAATGGGGTGACGATGCTTGGCCATCGGGCTTGGCAACCAACATATCCCTCGTTCACTATCCCGGCTCGTGCGATGCCTCAAACTTCCAGCACAGACACACTCCTCAGCCCAACCGGAGCACCCACCAAGCAGACAGCACCGATGACCTGACACGTCACTTTTGGAAAGATGGGGACCCGGCAAAGATCATCTCGATGCCCCGTCGGTTGGCCTTGATCTCGGGCTCCTCCTCCGCAGTTGGAGGCTTTCCCTCTAGACTCTAGATTTCATGTTCGGATAGCAGCACCACTGCCTCGTATATGATGACACACTGTTGAGATCGGAGCCAGGTTCGCATGCAAGCATGTTTGACAGGGTGAATCAGGTGAAGCCGTCCTTTCCGGGCACTTCCTCTCGGACGTAGGAAATCTCCTGTGCCGGCACATGCTGAACAAGACATTGTTGCCTGGCAACAGTTCCCGAGCTTTCTCGCTTAACTCCTTCGGATTTGAGGGCCCAACCTTTCCTACGAATCTTACGCTACGCATGCTCTGAACCTGCAGCCCGAATCCGGAGGCACTCGGCCTCTACTTCGCTGAGCACCATGTTCAGGTGCTGGTCGAAGGCATGCAGCCTGGTGCATTTGGTCAATGCGAAGCATACAAGTAGCAGGACCAGGGTGATTCCGTCTGCTAGATGTGCATGTCCCGGTGTATGATTGGATGGCGGACACAACGAGGAACCACGCGCACTTCGCTGGCATGTTAGGAACAACTGGAGCCCCAATGAGACTTTCGGAAGGCTGTGAAGGTGAGGAAAGATGCCTGACTCATGGCAGGCACATCTCCGCCGGTTTCCATCCCAAACACTGGACTCTTCCGACTGGGCAGCTCCCCACGCCGACCCACACCAACTCACTGCTGCCTCCCTCGGATCTCACGGTCGCCGCGGCACTTGACGAAGATTCGCTCGTCGAGATTTAGCCTGGTGGTGAACATCGCGTGACTTTACAGGCCAGGTCCGCTGCAGGATGGGGATGGCGGCAGCTGAATGCTTCGCAAAACAGCCAGGTCATCAGCGCAAGAACATCAGATGCCGACACAACCCGGTGAACCGCCGTCAAGTTTTCAGGATTCCCTTCAACCCCCATGCTTATCAGGGCACCGCAACACACTGGGTGCGGTGCCGAATCATGTCCAGCGGCTCCTCAATGGACGACAGCCCCTGTGCAGCTTCGGTTCTTTGATGCTTCCTTTTGAATCCTTAACGTCCCGAAGTTCGGCTCCCGGTGCCTCCGCCATCCTGGGCGGAAGGAAGCCTCGGGCATCTGGAGTCCAACTCTCGACCCTAAATGGTGCGAATCAAGGACTCGACACAAGGACTCGAGATGACTCGAGCTGCAGCGTTAGTGGTGGGCGTGAACCTTACTTTATGCATCGGAAACTGCAGCATCGAACGCCAGCCCTTGCTCGGATCCACGGGCCCAGGCTATCCAAAATGCCACGTCCCCGGTCAGTGGCGGTCCCACTCTGCTTTGGAGCCAAGGGGGAACGCACGGACCAGGCTGAAACTGCCCAGGGCTCCAAACGAAGCTGTGGATCAACCCTGGCTCTGCCGTTGCAGTTAGAATCAGGCTTGAAAGTCTGTGGACTCGCAGCGCGTGTTAGCAACTCGCTTGTGCCTCCTGGACCGCACAGTATTAGAATCCAAAGTCACAAAGCCTCGCACGCATCTCGGTGTGCTTTTTTGCCACGCCAAGCATGACAGCGGTTAACGAGTGCTGAACCTCCACGGCTCATAAGCGGAAAGCATGCAGGTGAGCAGTGATCCATGGAGGAATGAAGTTCTACGAAGCTGACGTATCTGTTCCAAGGGCATACAGCTTACTCTGCGGGCCTGAGAGGGATTTCGAGAACGGCTTAAGGGCCAGCACCTGCCTCTTGAACGCATCTCCAGGCATGACAGGAATAAAATGCTCCTCCCCCGATTGGACTTCAGATCGCGTGCACACGAGCAGCCTGCAGACGGATGATTGAATTACGTGTGTCAAGCTTACACTTCTGTCCTGATGCAAATCTTCCCAGAATACTTGTGGGGCGTATGGGGTTTCGGCTGTAACGTTTGACAGATCCGACTCGAGCATCTGGACAGAAGAATGCAACAAATTGCGACGTTGTCATCAAGGACACAACTAGCCTTGCTGTTCAACGGAGTTTGATGACCTAATACAAGACTTGGGGGGCCTTGAAGCACCGAAGTCTAAGGTCTACCAAGGCCCCCTTCGCTGTTGACCAATATTCTGGGCCCATCCTGAAAAGGTTGTTCTGGCAATACCCTCAAGTAAACGTGAAGGGCCCCGTCCCAGAGGTCTGGGACGGGCAGCCCTACCAATTTCGAGCAGGTGTCCTCAGAGCGACCTGGGCGGTGAGGATTCCTGGCACTGGTGGCTCTGAGGCCTGAAAAAGGCCTCGACTTCTCTCAAGTTGGAAATCTGAAGGGGGTTCAGAAGAGGGGAATTGTGACGGATTTCAGGAGCTGGGGGGATCCCAGCAAGCTCCTAGTTCGCTAGGGGGGCAGGGCTCAGAAAAATGCAATCCGGCCGTGCGACTTTGAAGCTCTGAAGACTCCGAAAACCCGGTCTCCTCTGGACCAGGAAGCCCCAACCTGGCAGAAGGCTCCGCGCCAGGGTTGAGTGAAGACTCACGGGGCATTGGCTTTGGGGCATAGGGCCACGGAGTTCATGAGGTTTGAGGAATTTCGGAGTTTGTGCTTAGCTTGTGGTGCATGCATCCACACGATACACCAACGAAAGGTTGACGTCGCAGCGCAACTTTGGAAAGCTGGTTCTTTGAATATGGGCTTGCGTGCAACACAGGACGCCGTATCGAATAGTTGCACGAATCTGCTCTTGACGCCTGTGTATGCTCGCTCAAGCTTGCGGAACTTTGGAGCATCGTATAAGAATGGTTGGCAAAGCCCAACACAAAACCCCGAACACATCTACCCAAACTGGGTGACGGGCACTAGGAAAGGTACCTCTGCAAAGGGTTTTGACCCAAACACGATACTTCTGAAAGGGTCCAAGCAAACCACAAGCTAAGGAAAACGGCCAGCTCTAAACGTTAACCGTCAAGCCCGGAAGCCTCAATGCCAAACCTCGAGGTCCCAGCAAAACCCGCAAAGTCCAAGGGGAGTATCCTAAGGTCCCAAAAAATGACCAGGGCCCCAAGCGCAAAACCGCTGTCGCTGTTACAGCCCCTCGACCCGCAAGGCAAAAGAAAAGGCCTCTGCTTGACCACTTCGCTGGTCCTCCGGCGACGCCTCCTGGGGCTGCCGTTGAAGTTGCCATCCTCAGCTGCTTCCAACTTTACCGCGTTCAGCTACCTACGCTGCCTCAGGGTGACATTCCTGTCGGCTCGTTGCGTGTCCCTGCAAAAGCATCGGAATCACACCACGGCGGAGCTGCTTGCGGGTGTAGGGTTTGGGGCTCTTCTGTCCGCAACTGTAAGGTCTAGATTACCTACATTCAGGACGAGAGCGTGGGGCCAAACGACCTGTGGGCATTCTGCGCTGTGCATACTCTGTGCAAAGCTTGAATGCGAGCTTGGCAGGGCAGACGTCGCAGCCACGTGGGTCGCTCGGGATGCCGCTTAGCATCTTGTCGTTCCCTCGTTCAAGAGAGATTCGTCTCGGATGCTCCACAAGAGAGCTGAGCCCCACGTTGCTTCAATCAAAGTGCTGTGCTGTTCTTCACCTGGAGCTCTGATGCCCTGTTCTTCGCACTTCGGCTCGCGCTGCTTCACATCCCATGGGATAGCGCACTGCGCTGGGCGCTTCGCGATTCGGCAGCGGGCTTCCTGGACTACCACACAAATGGAGACCTCTGAGCCACCAGCTTGACGGAAGGCGTCGTCCAGGGTCGGGGGCATGTCAGCAAGGAGGAACCAGTCGTGCCTGCTCCAGTGGAGGCCGACGCGCATACTGCCCTCCCACTGCACCCACCACAAGACCTCTCCCGAACAGGTCAAGATCTGATGGCGGTGGTCGAGTGGCAGTGGCAGTGGCGTTGGGAATGGAAACGTACTTGGCTGCGGTTGTCGTGGCTAGAGTGGGGAGTGGGAGTGCAAAAGATGTGGTGGTGCTGCTGGCGGCCGTGGAAGCGGTAGTGGCGGCGGTAGCGATATTGGTAGATCTGGTAGTGGTGGCAGTAGGAGTCAGCAGTTGTCGTCGTCGTCGTAGCGGTAGTGGTAGTTGTGGGACTAGGGCTGGTGCTGGTGCTAACGCTGCTGCTGCCGCTACTGCTACCGCTACTGATACTGCCACGGCACCTGCAGCAGCACAAACAACAACTAACAAGAATGAACAAGCAGTGGAGAAGTCCCTCTGCCCGTCCTGCTACCCTCGTCGTCGAAACGAACGATCCGCAGCCCCGAGTGCTGCGCATCCGCGAAGAAGGGTGGCTCACCGACACACCTCGAAGAACTGAAAGTCAGGGTCAACAAAATATCGCCGACCATCCAGTAACCTCCAAAGCTCGGAGAATGGTTGGGGCGGCGGCTTTTCGAAGTTGGGCCGCGTGGACGTCGCCACCACCTCAGTCTCAGTGACGCTTTGCAGGTTGTTCGACTGGAAGCTGGTGCTCGGCTTTCTTGGTGAACAGTCATGCGTTTCCCCTTTTCTCGCGTGCAACTGCGCCGTGCATGCCAGCAGGATGCAATTTCTCCCGCTGTGCACACCAGCCAAACAAATTTAGACAGGAAAGCATCGCATGCAAACATGGAGACGTTGCAAGCGACGGGCGCTGCAGAGTGGTCAGCATGCTTCCCAGACAGGCTTCGTCGAGCTCCATCAGAATTCGTCACCGTATCCTTCCTCTTCACCTTCGCCCTCAGCCTCGGAAGAGCTAACAGCTCTACAGGTATGGCCACTCACCCAGGAGGAAAAACAGTGTCAAGCCCACAACAACACCAAAGATTCCAAGCTCCGAGAGGCGGTCTCGATGCCCACCTGCCATTCTCTCTTAAAAATGGGCTCGAGCTCGGGGCTTCGAGGGTTCGGAAGACTGCACCCATGCCTTGGAATTTAACCTGGAGCTTAGATCCTGAAGCACAAGCCTCTTAGTCCGAATCTCTGAGCCCTTGAGTGGAAATTCTAAGGCCAAATCCGAAAGCCGCCATAGACTGCCATCGCCTCCTCGTAGTCTTTCTCCAGTGCAGCCAGGTCTTCTCTGGCCTCCGAGAACTCGCCCTCCTCCATTCCTGCTGGGTTAAAGGTGCCACTCAGGAACACCGCAACGGAGTAAAGGCGCTCTGGCGTCTAGCAGGCTCCTGGTATACACAAGTACATCGGCCGCTGTGAATCAGCATAATCATCGCCGTCATCCTCATCATCACCATCCTCTTCTCCGTCGTCCACCTCCATCACCGCCTTGGTCTTCGTCGCCGCCACTTCCGCCGTCGTCGTGGTAGTGATAATCGTCGTGGCGGCCGCCGCCGTCGCTGTTGTCGTCATCGCCGTCGTCGTCCTCGTCGCCGTCATGATCATGCTCGTCCTCGCGCATCCTGTCACCCTCGTCGGCGCCGTCGTCATCATCCTCATCATCATCCTCATCATCAGCATCGTCATCATCGATATGATCATCCTTCTTTTAATTATTATCATCCTCATCATGTTCGTCATCGTCATCACCGTTGGTGTCATTACCAGCACTATTTTCGCTGCACAATCATTGCTGCGAATAGGAATGTACAAGGACACCAATGAAGCGCAAACGGCCGTCCTTCGCCGACGTAGTGGTGGACGAAGGCGCGCTTCCTACACACCCATTCAAATTTTTGAGCCCAGACTAAGGGGACCTAGAAAAAAGGAAAGCGTGCTCCTGCAAGTCAGTGCAAGTTCCATCGCCGAAGCTGTTAGTTTGTGCTGGAGCTGCAGGATTGTTCAGGCGGTCTCGGAAATCTGCTCACTCCAGCCAAGATGCGAGTACATGAGGTCAAACTTGTGGTCGATGCGCGAGAAGACTTCCTTGTTTGCCAGTCGTTCGGGCGAAAGTGTGAACGTTCATAAGGGCTCACCGAGCTCACGTTTCTCAAGCGTCTGCTTTCACATGCCAAGTATCCGTTTGGGAGATCTCTCACGAGACAGCCTACTCAAAGCTCTAGCCACAAGCATCCAACAATCCGCCCCAAACGTTCGAGGGTCGAAGCTTGACCCGCCTCTAGGACGGAAGCTCTAGAAGGTCGCCAGACTCTCTTCTGCATTCAACCGCTTAAACCCTCAAAGTCCTAAGACGCCTTTGACCCTCAGAAAGACTCTCTCACACTCTGCAAGAGTCCACCACCCTTCGCTACGCTGGCTGCACCCTCGAAGCAAACAACATTGTAGGTGCTTTAGGTGTGTGCCTGGTGGAAGAAGGTGGGGGAGTCACAAGTCACGTGCACGAATGCCGATTGCTTGCACTAAGACCCGACGATCATCGACATCGGTATCCGCGTTGAACCCTGAATCCATGCGCTTCTGAATCATCCCAATCACTAACCACTCCACATGGAGACACGAGGCCGCGATGGCGGTGGAGTTCGAGATCATACAGCAGGCGCGCATGACCTTTGCCAGGTCTCCACCTCGCGACCACGGCATCACCCGTGCCGCAGGCTGAACTGCGAGGATGGATCAATCAACAACTAGAAGGAAGCAAATCAAGACGATCTGCTAGGATTCGATCTGCGAAGTACGTGTATGGTACCCCAAGCTTCTCCAAATTTCTGGCCTGGAACCACAGTCGGGGGCTGGTAGTTGATGCCGCACTTGAAGCCCGTAGGACACCAGTCCTGGGCTCTTTGTCGCTACGGGGCCTGAGACCTTTCAAGGTGGTGCAAGAGCGGGCTCAAGAAGTCTCGGGTCGAAGACATTGTTCTTTCCGAGTCTTCTGCCGGAGGGCTGAGAAATTAGGGGTGGAAGGCTTGGAATATCTTGAGATCTCGCAGGTTTGGCTTCAGCAGGGCGCTCTTGTCTTCGCATTTTAATGAGCAAGCCCTGGCCCAGGCCGTCCAGAACGTCTTAGCAATCTTGATTCCTGCAGCTCCTTTCGGAAGAAGGCTCCACGAACTGGATGGTGCGCTTGGTCTTGATAGTGGCCACTGCAGCGTTCACATCTTTCGGAACAACGTCACCGCCTCGTCACAAAGGAGCTTGGGCGGCATTGCAAGTGTAGCGACTGAGAGGATGTCTGCACCGTTGAGACTTGTTGTTATCTTGCATGTCTACAGAACGCTGGCATCCTTGCCTGTACCTGATACTTCTAGGCGCCCGGGCGGTACATCATGCAGCAGGCCATGTACTTGCCGTGCCGGGGATCGCACCTGCATGATGAATGGATGAAGCTGCAACAACCTATCTCTTGCCGAAGTGTTGGATCTGGACCAGCCAAGCATGTTAGCCCCTAGCTGCACGACCTAAATCCTAGGGCCGTGCAGCCTTCCAGCAAGACTGCCGTCTTGAACGGCTTTCATGATCTGGTGTGTCTTGTGACATAACTGAGGCTGGCGCTTCACCATCATCGACGCCGGCTCGAAGACGGACATCGTGATCTCCGCCACGGACAGCTGCTCGTGGTAGGCCTTCTCGGCGGAGATGACCGGAGCATAGGACGTGAGCATGAAGTGGATGCGCGGGTACGGCACCAGATTGGTCTGGAACTCCGTGATGTCCACGTTCAAGGCTCCATCGAAGCGAAGGCTGGCCGTCAGTGAACTGATGATCTGGGCAATCAAGCGGTTCAGGTTGGTGTAGGTGGGGCGCTCAATGTCCAGGTTCCTGAGATGCGCCCACACCGGAAAACGCAGCTGGACGATGTCTCTTTTTCAGATTCTACCTTCTACGGCTTGAAGCTCAAACCTACCGCGACCTGCGCGGGATGAGTGCTAACATTACACACTTGGGCGGGGCTGGTTGCATGGAAACCGATGAGCCTAGATCTTGAAGTTGCCTGTCGGACGATAGGAAAGCAGGTGGTAGCCTAACATGATCGAACGACGAGGATCCTGCGGCAGATATCGTAGAGGGCCTCGTTGTCGTACATGATCGTCACGTCGGTATGCTCCAAGAGGGAGTGAACGCACAACACCTTGGTAAGCCAAGACAGGCTTTACAGCAGTCACAACGTGCCAGGTCTCAACAATGTCACCTACGCCGCCCCCGAAAAAGCCGAAGCCAAGTCTCGGTGTTGTACGGCTCGACGACGGCCGTTGCTACTTGGGGGCAGCACCAGACGGTGAAGGAAATCTTGCTCTTCTTTCCGTAGTCCACGGACAAGCGCTCGAGCATGAGGCAGCCCAAGCCAGAGCCGGTTCCTCCGCCGCAAGCCTCGGTATGTAAGCCCCCGACTTAGCTCATTTCCGTGGGCTCACGAGATGTTGACAGCAGCGCCCAGCTTTTTGACCGAAAGGCATTGTAGACGCAGAAGCCCTGCAGCCCGGTGCCTGAATTTCTGCAACGAAGTGACATGTTTGCTTGCACGGACCCATCTGCAATGTAGGTTAGCACCTTATGCCAAAAGCTGGAACGATTGGCTGCCCAGCGGCAGTTGTCGGCCAACTTGCGGATCCTGTCGCACGGATTCTCTGGACTCTGTGGTAAGTGCAACGAGACGGAGACATGATACAAACTCAGATCACGTCATGCCAAGGCTTCAATCTATGTAGATGAATAGCAGCAGCGGAAAGAAAACGAGCCACACGCGAAGTGGCACAGACGCAAGTCCTGTCAAGGACGAGGTCCACAATCTCTTTGCCAATCGTGTAGTGTCCGCGTGCGAAGTTGTTCGCCTCCGAATCCGAAAGGCCAGAACTTGAGAAATGGAACCGCTGTGAAGCAAACGTGCTGCAAGATCCAATATGTCAAGCGACGGCATCCTCTTTACCAGAAATCAGCTGCTCCGGATGGAAAAGCTGTCGGTAGGTACCGGTGCGAACTTCATCCACGACCGTCGGCTCAAGATCCTTAGCCCGTGACATATTATGGCAACAACTGGTACATTTCCGTCTTATACCTTCGCACCTAGCATGGCTGGCCATCAGGGCCCGTGACATTACAACGCAGATTCTCGCGGCCGCGTTTGGATCTTGATGGATGCCATCGGGTACAACACCAGCAATGGCAATAGCAACACCAAGACCAGTCTCCTGAACCCCATCTGCACCACGAACAAGTAGATGATCACACTTGTGATCATGGCCGCGGTGCACATACTAGTTCATTCTCAGCGCTCGAGGTTGACACTATTACGACTGGCTGTCGGCTGCTTCATGCGAATGGCTGACTCACCCTGATCAACATCATCTTCGTCGTCATCATCAACGTCATCATCATCACATTCCTCGTCACGCCAGTCTGACAGCAAATCGGCCGTTTGACTCAAACCTGGGCTTTTGCAGGATGCCGGCCTTTCAACCATACCAGGCGAACGACTCTTGCCGCCCAAACTCGACTGACATCTCACATGTCGTCAGCAGTGCTAAAGATCAAGTAAGGCCGAGTCCACCATGACGCAACGAGGGACATGCTTTCCAGCGCCGGTTTCGGAGAAGAACGTGTTAAATGCGTCCTCACGGGGTCTATGATTTGCTGCATGCACCATGCTCAAGCTCATCCTGCTATACTAATAAGATCCTTGGAGCCAGGCACCTATAGACCCCAAACAGAAATCTTTGTGACATGAAAACAACTGCCGCCACAAGCAAGGGGCATCTCCACCACCGATGGTCTTGTCCTTAGCTTCATGCTCCAGTGTACAGCTTCGATACACGGAGCCTCGCACATTGGCCTGCAACTAGAAGAACTTGTTTGGTAAAGATGCGCCTCTGAAGCCTGCTGTCGAGTGTCGCTGGGCATCTGACCATCCGGCTGGATGCCATGCTCGAGGCAGAAGAGCTCCCAGCAGGCGTTTCCAATCTGCACGCCTCCCTGCAAGTTTGGACAATGCCAACTTCATACTGATCTTCTGAAGCATTAGAAACTGTAAAACTATCGGTAACTATCGGTTCCACATTGACTTGGGAACTCGAGTCCAACAGCGTAGCTGCGGCCTGCGAGGCTTTCAGGGCTTAGGCATGCTCGCGCCTGGCCGATGTGGATGCAGATGGCCTCACGCATGGCTGCGAAGTGAGGGCGTAGAGGTCGCGAGAGAGTTGATTGCGAAGAGCACCAACGGAAGGTGACTGGGGCACACCGCGTGATGTAGCGGCCTTGATCACCAATCCTTCGAGCCGAAACGTCAATGCGCAGGCTCCTGCAAAACCTACCATCTCAACTCTGCAGGCGAGTCTAGTCGGGTTGCAGTTGGCTGCAGAAGTTTCGGTCCAACAGCTCCAAACCTTTTTCGTGCACTCGTGTGATGCGCGCGCGCTCCACCGTCGCGGACAACAAGACGCAGTTTTCTTGTCGAGCACTTCGGCAGCACGCACAGCTCAATGAGGCAGGGCGGCTGTCCATGATTCTCGAATCCCCCACTGTTGTATCTCCACTCTACATCGAATCAAAAAACCATAATTACAAAACATCGTGCCAAGGACCTGCCTCTTCTGGCAGCCTGCCTTCGGCCGGCAGCCTCAGAATTCGTCTCCGTAGCCCTCCTCTTCACCTTCACCTGAAGACATATAGCGGGCTTTACACATGTGAGGGGGAAGGAAGTCGCGGGCCTTCTGCTGTTTCGATTCCAACCTCTTCGTAGTCCTTCGCTCAATTTTGGCTTTTCAGCATCTCTGGGTGCTCAAAGCAGGCTACGGCTCGGGATGCACAAGCGCAGGATTCTCGTCAAACGCCATCGCGATCCCGGTCGAGGAAGGGCACCCACTTGCGGTGAAAGCATCATGCTCTTTGGGTAAGTGTGTGTGTATGTGTGTATGTGTGTGTGTATGTGTGTGTATGTGTGTATGTGTGTATGTGTGTATGTGTGTATGTGTCTGTGTGTGTATGTATGTTTGTATGTATTGTGTACAGTATGTATGCATGTATGTACGTATAGCTACAGTGATATTTAGGCAGAGCATGTCCGTCTCTGCCGCTTTCTCCCGAGGCTGTTAGCTGCCGACTGGCATGCTCCGATAGAAGCTCCCCCCGCCGCAGCTCCTTCTCCAAGGCAGCCAGGTCCTCCCGTGCCTCCGAGAACTCACCCTCCTCCATGCCTGCGTCAGAGGATCTGCTGAAGACGCATCACAGGCACGGAATCGATACGACAGGACAGCAGGCTGCGTGACGATGCAAAGCTTTAACTCGCTCCCTGCACCGGGCCTTCACCCACGTAGTGGTGCACGAAGGCTCGCTTCCTGGTGCGACTACAGGTAGCATCAATCATGCGGGACGTACCCGCGAATCCGAAATCGAGAGTACAAACGGATGAGACTTGGAGTTCATATCGGACACCTCGACCCTGAGCCTTCGGAAACTCCTAAACCCCCAGGCTTTGACACGGTCAGACCAATACAGCACCGAGCCGCGAGTACATCAGGTCGAACTTGTGGTCGATGCGAGAGAAGACTTCCTTGGGTATCCCATAGCACTCCAAATACGGTGCAGCGCCCCAAGTATACTATGCCCTCTCCCATGCAGACTATTTGATGCTGAGGATCTGCTATGTTTACCGCACGTCCGAAAGCCCACATACGCAAATCAAAACTTGCGCTCGTAATCCGTTGATGCCTAGGACTGCCTGGGCCATGCCAAAGCGAGTCACTCTGCAGAACCGCAGCCACTTAGGTCTGGGCAAATCTCCCTCTAATTCTCCACCGAAAGCCTTTGAACTCAAGGAATGCCGCCCAGCTACTGCGATGGCTGTGGAGTTGGAGATCATGCAGCAGGCCCGCATGACCTTCGCCAGGTCACCACCTGCGGTCCCGGGATTCACCAGCGTCCGAACCGTCGTACCACCACCACCCCAAACCTGTCAAAAACGTTGAAACTTGGTGGATCGTACCGTGCCCCCGCACGAAGCCTGGGACCACGGTGGGCGGCTGGTAGTTGATGCCGCACTTGAATCCCGTGGGGCACCAATCCTGGAAAGGCTCCGACGGGGAAAGTCCTATTGACAAGAAACACTCACCGCGCATGACAACAGCACGAACACATCGATTCGAACCTAAACGCAGCTACTGCCTTTTGAAGTCCCACTGCCAATCTCAACGAAATATGTGTCGGCTTGCAGGGTCTTGGACGCAATGACATTCTCGAATGCAAACCGGAATCCACGAACTGGATGGTGCGTTTGGTCTTGATTGTGGCAACGGCTGCATTCACATCCTTTGGCACAACGTCGCCGCCTGGGCGCGAACTCACTCTCAAGATGCATCCCGTTCATGGAACAGTATTGCACTGCTGAAAACCGAACTCGCAGCTGCAAGTCTCTGGGCACCCAGGCGGTACATCATGCAGCAGGCCATGTACTTGCCGTGCCGAGGATCGCACCTGCTTATTATCAAGTGTAGCTGCAACTACCTATCTCTCGCCAAAGCGGTGGTTGGAAGCAACGTATGAGGCCGAGAAGGGCGCCCAATCAAGGGTGTTGCATGACTTGAACTGCATCACAGAGCAGAAAGTGCAAATAAATCAAAAGAGATCTCCCTGACTGCGTCATGTCGTCATCGGAAAAGCACCTTCCGGTATGTCGGACTGCCAAAAAAAAGAAAAAAGAACCAGACTAAACCCAAGCAGCCGAAAACAAAATCGAGCGAAGAGGAACCAAAATAACCCGACCCATGCGGGACAAGAATGTGCACCAGGCCAGCAAGAGCCCCAAATGAAATGGTGCAGCGAAGCGAAGGGAGCACACTAGAAGCGGTGGGAAGGCCACCGAAGCCCGCAGAAGAGGCTGCATGGACGCGCTAGCGCGATAAACGAGCGGTGCAGCAGACATCGCCGATCACTCAAGCACAGGGCTCCTGTGCAAGAGTGATGGCGATGCCAAGCTTGGCGCATGCGATCAAACGATCTACGCGCGCTGTGTGGGGGACCGACCCGCGTGGATGGTGACCCCAGCGGACTTGGTAGTGGACCTACGCTGTGCACGCCACCATCCATGTGGGATGGAATAAGCTGCTTGGAGCTGAGACCGAATGCCCCATAATTTGCTGCACTCCACAAACCAGTGTCGCGCAGAGGCACGGGGGAAGCCGCAATGGGAGCAGGCAGTGGCGTTGACATGCTCATCATCATGCCTGTGGACCTGAAGATAATGAGGGCAGAGCATTGCCTCGAGTTCAGGGAGTTGCAGAACTTGCGGTATTTGGCGTGGCTGGAGGCTTCAAGATCAGCATGTTGAATGCCTTCGCAATCATTGCGGGTCTGAGGAACTTGAAGCAGCAGCATGCGTCTGGCGCTCTGGCGCAGGAAGTGGGCAACCCTATCGCCCTGGACAAGCGTCGGGGTTAGCGAACTGTTCTTCGCGGCAGGGGGATGGCGGGAAGTTAGGGGGAGTGAGCGAACCCTAAGGGAATGAGGTCCAAGGGACATATTTCCGGAGCTCAAGAATGCTTGCAGGCTTTTTCAGCAAGGCATCGAGGTGGGGATTCGGCGTGTTAATCACCGCTGCTGCATTGCGTAGTGCGCGGATGGCAACGGCGAACTTAGGATGTAAATCAGTGTGCTGGCACCAGAGGCGGTTTTAGCACCACCATGTGGCTTTAGCATTAGCGAGCGCCTGAAACAGCCGGGAGATATCTTCAGCGCTGCCTGCCGGGAGGAGGAGGCCCAGTCGAAGAGAGGGTTGATGAAAGCAGTGGCCAAGCGGCACCGCATGGGAATGCCACCGCGGCTATTGCCCTGCCGAGCAATGGCATCCGGCGCCTTGTCCGGATCGCGCACCTGAGTAAGCTGGTCCGGGCGACCAGGGAAAACCTTGGTCAGCAGGTGGGTCGTTATGGGACCACGTTTGAGTTTTACTCTGTTCTCTTCGAACCCTGAGGCGGAATCGAACTGACCTCTGTTCACGAGGCATCTAGAGCCCTGCCTGATGGCAACGATGGTCCTATCTTCCAGGTAGCACCAGGTGCGGATGCTGCTACCAAGTGCTTCCGTTAGTTTAGTGCAAGGGGATAAGCTACCCGCTAAACCTAATGGCGACACTGGGTCGCCTTGGGGAATGCCTCGAAGCGGGAGTATAGGCTGTGCTAAATCCCCGTCAACCGTACAGATGCGAGGGCCGTGCCAGGCTCAGGTTAACATGCGAGCAACATGCTTTGGTGCACCTTGGTGGGTGAGGGCAGTTTCCACAAGCTCGGGAACGAGGGAGTCACATGCCTTGGACAGGTCCGTTTCAGCAACGTGTTGGGGCCTAGAACTAAGGTAGCTGGCCGTCGCTGTGGCGACCGATGTTTGAGATCGGCCGCAAAATTGGCCATGTGGCACCGGGGGCAAGATGTTCAAGAGTGATTTATGCCAAATCCTAAGGAGAAGGGAACCAATGGCAATGGGACGGCTGTCGAAAGAGGTTTTCTTCGGGATACCGAAAAGTCTCGAAGTCCCTAAACTGTCGGGTGGGCCGTCATCAGGCGACTGGACGGAGAACTGCAAGGTGGCTTCAGCCCACAAGTTATAGAGCTTTCTAAGCAGTTGAGGAAAATGGCGGTTGAGGGCCTTAAGCTCTTTGGCAGTCCAACCGTCATAACCTGCGGCTCCATTGCACGAGGCGACCGCCGGCTTGGAACTGATTCCGTGAAGGGACCGCGTCCGTGGAGCCAGGTACGGAGGGCATCCTAGCATCCTCAGCGAAATCCTTCCAGGCTTTACAAATAGAGTCAACATCTACTTGGTCGGGGTGCCAGCGCTTAGACCGACAATCCCTCATGTCCTCGGCAGTGAAGGCCGGGGAAGCTTTCGGGGGCTTAAGAGCTGCTTTGGCAGCGGACCAGTTAGCGGTAGCATGGTCAGCAAAACTTGCGCGCCATTCTTTCGCCCGGACTTCGGCGGACTTGCGCTCTCGTGCAGAAAACGCACTATTGACACATTGCAAAGCAGTGCGAGTGGAGTCATCATCAAGGTGGGGGAGGGGGCAAAGCGGCCTAAGCCGGGTTACCCTGACGCAAACACTCCGCCACAGCACGATGAAGGCGCAGGAGCCGCGATGGAGATGAGTTTGTGCGCCCCGACAAGCAGGCCCCGGG